CGGGACCCGGAGCCTCGGCCCCGCGCCGCCCTGTGGGTGGGATCTGGGGGCGTCTGGGGCCTCGCCGGGCGCAGGAAAGCCGACCCTTGGCAGAGCGCTGGGACAAAGAGCAGAAACGGGGGGTGGGAACGCGGCGGTGGAGGGGCGCCCTGCGAAACAAAGCCCTTCCGAGAGGGGGACCCCGGGGGGGTGCGGCGCGGCTCCTGCACACCCTCCCCGGGGCGCGCAACATGGTGTCCCTAATGCCCGCGTCGAAGCCAGCGACGCCTTCCGGCTAAGGACCAGGGAGCGTAGGGGGGCTCCCCAGAGCCGGCAGACCCGTGGTCATTCCTGGAAAAGTCCCTCTCGGCTGTGTGGAAGCCGCCGGGAGGCCGCTGGTGCGGGAAGGCCCGGGGCTGGGCTCCGCGGGCGGCGACGGCGGTGCCCGCACCGCCCGCGCCCATTCCCGGAGAAGGCGCCTTTAAGAAATCGTTGGTTCCCCCTCGTTCCCGGACCCGACTCCCAGAAACCAACCACCCTCCTCCGGCCCTCCGCTGTCAGAAAGTTCCGGACTTCTTCGGGGTCCGCCCCAGCCGCCTCCCCTCCACACCCGAGCCGGGGGCTGGGCTGGGCGCGCGCGGACGGCGTGCCACTCCCGGGGCCTCTCCAGGCCCCCGGCGGGGCCCCGGGCCCCGGCGGCGTTCGGAGAGCTGCCGTCCGGCCCGTGGGGCCCAGGTGGGACCCCACTCTGTCCGGGACACAGCTGCTCTCGGCAGGGTTCCCCACGGGGCTCTGGGGCCCGGGGCCCCAACGCCAGGTTTGGGGATCCCGGGTTTGAAGACAGTGTCCCCCAGAGCCCTTCGCAGGGGCCAAGACTAGGGGTTCGGGATGGCCGGGGAGGGGGGACGAGGGGTCGGCAAGGCTGTCTGGGGCGAGGCGCCCACTGCCCCGGCCCCGCTTCCGCCTCGCCCCCTCGCGGGAGTCCACGCCCAAGCCCCTGCCCTGCGGACGCCGGGGAAGTGGGTCGAGGTGGGCGCCCGAGGGGCGGAGATTCCCGCCTGCCCGCCCTCCGGAGGCCCCGACGACCCCGCAGCCCGTGCGTCTGTCCTCAGCTGGGGCGCCGCGGGCTTGGGGTGGCTAGCGGCTCCCCGGCTTCGAGGGGCTTCTAGGAGGCCGCCCCCAACCTCCCCGCGTCCAGGAAGCCCGGGGGTCACTCGCCACGAGGCTCCAGAGAGGACGCAGCGTTCGGGCGGGCGCGAGCCCCGCGGCTCTGATCCTGTCGCCCCCCCAGGGTCCCCGAGCCCCGCCAGGCCAGCGGCGGCCCTGCGACCCGGGCCGGCGCGGAAGCCGAGCCGCACGCGGCGGAAACACCCCGAGCACGCGGCTTTTCCAGGGGATTTTCAGTCGCAGGGACCTGCGGGGTGTCGGGAAGTGGAGGCTGCTCCCGGGCCTGGGGTCCCCCCGGACCTCGGGACTGGCGGCGGGGGTGGACCGCGTCAGCCTCCCCCCCCCTCGGGACTGGGCTCCCGCAGCGGCTGGACTGGCCGAGGGACGGTCCATGGGCAGAGGGCAAGCGTCAGGGAAAAGCCGCTCAGGAGGCCACGGACGGGGCTTTTCCTGCCTCCCTCCCCAGGCCTCGCGGGGGGCAGGGGGGCAGGACCAGCTCTGGTCCATCTCCTCCTGCGCCCACTTCTTGGGGAGTCCCGGGGCCTGCGCCCCAAACTCCTTTCACCGGGGAGGGGAAGCCCCGCCGGGGCTGCTGGGTGGAGAGGTCAGGGCCGGACCGCGGGGAGATTTCGCCGCGTGCAGACTCGCCCTGGAGTCCTGGGAGCACTGCACCCCAACGGGCTCTGGGGCTTCGCTGCCGCCTCTCCTCCCCCTGGTGTCCTCTAGCCTGGGCACGGTGCCCCCCGGGATCCCGGGACCCCGAGTGGAAGCAGGGGGGCGGAGACCCCGTCCTTTCCCAGCCCCTCGCTCCACTCGGCCTCCACTGCTTGCCCGTTGTCTTCTCTGTGGACAGTCGGCCAAGGGATTGCGTAATCTGCCGGGGTCCTGCAGAAGCCCCAAGCTGGCGCCCCGGCCACGCTCCGGGCCGG